ATTTTTTTTAAAAAAAATCCCAAACCAAAGCACTTTAAAACCAGAACCCCCCCAAAAAAATAATCCACATTTTTTATAACAACAAAAAAAAAAGATATATATATTTTTTATCCTTCTTCTTCTTCTTTCTGGCACAATTTGTCCTCCTGCTCCTTTCCTTTCTGCGTTTGAAACACCTTTTAACCGAGCGTCGCTGCATTATTCTTACGAGTTATGTTTTATCGTTTCAAGAAATGCTGTAAACCTGGCAGTATTAAAACTGAATGAGCAAGGCCTGTTGGACAAATTGAAAAACAAATGGTGGTACGACAAAGGAGAGTGCGGCAGCGGGGGCGGTGACTCCAAGGTCAGCCTCAATGTCACCACAATCGGGTACCTTAGTCAAGAGTAATCGGCAAAGCTGTTATTTGACGCATCGGGGTGGGGACACAAAAAAACGTTTGTGACGGAGACCTTGTCCTGAACCCGTCAAAGTCGGGTCCCTCACTTGCCTTGTAGCTTCTTCCAATCGGACAGTCTCCTCTTCTTCCTCCTCTCTTTTATTGAACTAACAGGGAGAACTTTGGCCCTACTGGGTTGGTTTTGGCTGGACGGGACCCGCAATATGGACTGGAATGACAATAGCAATAGCACTTAGACTTATAGGCCGCTTCATAGTGTTTTAACAGCCGTCTCTAAGCGGTTTACAGAGTCAGCATATTGTCCCCCGACAATCTGGGTTCTCTTTTTACCCACCTCGGAAGGACAGAAAGCTGAGTCAACCTTGAGTCGGTCAGGATCGAACTCCTGACAGTGGGCAGAGTTAGCAATAGCCTATAGACTTATATACGGCTTCACAGTGCTTTTACAACCCTCTCTAAGTGGTTTACAGAGTCAGCCTCTTGCCCTCACCAATCTGGGTCTTCATTTTTCCTACCTCAGAAGGATGGAAGGCTGAGTCAATATTGAGCCTGGGTGAGATTTGAACTGCCGATCTGCAGCTAGCAGTCACCTGAAGTAGCCTATAGTACTGCACTCTAACCACTGCACCATCTTGGCTCTAAGCTGTTTACAGAGTCAGCGTTTTCCCCTCCGACAATCTGGGTCCTTGTTTTACTGACCTCAGAAGAGCGGAAGGCTAAGTCCACCTTGAGCCAGTGAGAATCGAACTCCAGGCAGTGGGCAGAGTTAGCAATAGCAATAGCACTTTGACCTATGTAAACCACCCGTAAAATGCTGTAAAGCACTATGAAGATAAGTTAAGTTATCTTCATAGTGCTTTACAGCATTCTCTCAGTGATTTACAGAGTCAACATATTTGGGTCCTCATTTTTACTGATGTCGGAAGGATGGAAGGCTGAGTCAACCTTAAGCCAGTCAGGATCAAACTCCTGACTGTGGGCAGAGTTAGCCTGTAATGCTGCATTCTAATTATTGTGNCCTCCCATCACCTATACTAATGGAACAGCATAATGAAATAAGAGAAAGTGTGGCAGGCCAAAATTCTAAAAGGAATATAATTGCAGGCCTGACAGCAAGCGTCTTTGCCTCAAGCAGTTGCCATTTTGTGAGGTAAATTGTGACATTTTCCCTCAGCTTTACAAATGGAGAAAATGTTTCATCCTAGCAGAGGTAGCACACACACACACACCCTCCAAAAAAAGATCATTTTCATTGAGAACACAACCTGGAGGAATAAAAAAAAGGGATAGAGCAATTCACAGCTCCTGTCATAATTTCAAAGTTCACGGCAAGTGATGGCCTTCTAGCAACCTTCTATCCACCTATCCCAAGAATATTCCTTATATACCTCGTTTCCATGAAAATAAAACCTCCCCAGATAATAAGTCCAATTGGGCTTTTGAGCGCATGCGCTAAAATAAGCCCTCCCACGAAAATAAGCCCTCCCAGAAAATATTGCACCACAGAAGCAGCCATGAGGTGACCATGCTCACCACCTCCTATGCCTCAAAAATAATAAGACCTCCCCAAAAATAAGGCCAAGTGCTTATTTTGGCAAGAAAATAAGACCCTGTCTAATTTTCGGGGAAACGAGGTATATTCCTTCACTCCAATATATTCTTTATCTCAGGGATGATTTTCCAAGGGGTCAGCATCGGGTATGCACTTGACCTTCTCCATAATTAGTAAAGAATGATTGATCCAGTCATCAACTCTTGAAAACCTTCAGCAGCTTCTTGCGTGACAGTTGACTCTCTTGAATAGTCTTGGCCTCTGTGTCCTCATCATAATTTGGCAACTTCACCCAGTTAAGATTCACTTGGGTGTTTTGAGAATGCTGAGATGTTTGGGGATATCTGCATTCTTTCTCAAGGTGTCTGGCCTTGGGTGCAGGCGCAAATGGATTCTCAGCTTCCCTGTTCTCCATCAAGCTGTCATTCCCCCCCAGAGGTGGGTTTCTACCGGTTCACACCAGTTCGGTAGAACCGGCTCGTCAAATCTACCAAACCGGTTAGAAGAGGTTCCACCAGTGGACCCGGAAAGCAGGCCACACCTACAGAAGAGGTTCCAAATTTTTTTGAAACCCACCACTGATTCCCCCTCTCCCGTTTTCCCATCAAGGTTTATCACTCACTGGCTCCCCTATACCATCCCCCCCAATAGCCTTTGACAGAAGGATGCCAGTGAGGTGCCGGGCTGAAGATGGAAGACCTGACAATATAGATAACATGGCAACATCCACCTGATCAGGGTTGGGAAGCAGAAATCAAGTAGAGGGTCAGCTAATGGGTTAAGTAGAGGATCAGCTAATGGGTTAAGTTGGAAGCATCGCAGTAGCAAATTCAGTCGATGCCCGCAGGAAGCCACTCACGTGCTGTTTCAGTGTTCTACTTTTGGGACAGCAATCATGAGATAATGATAATGACATTGCCCGAAACAACTAAGCTTTCATATCTTCTTCTTTTTTTTTTTTCCTGCCCCCAAACGTACTGTACTCTTTATGTAACTGGGCTGAATTAAAGTCACATGAATAAGGTACTCGTTAGAAGATAATATATCGCTTTTAATTAAGGGCACAGTGTGCAGCCAGCAAAGTACATTAGCTGATTAAAACCCCTTTTTGGTCAGTTCAAAACTAACAGCAATTAAAAGGCCATCGGATGACTTTTTAAAAAGGTAAAGGAGATTCGGAGAGGAATTCTGGCTCAAACTACAGGTGAGCGACCGTTTTTTGAGGACACACATCCCCCCCCCCCCTGGCTTGGTCGGATTGTTAGTTATGAAAAGTGTGTTCGTTTAGGTTTTTATTGAGGTTTGTTTGTAAAAATAGTAAAGGCAGAATATATATAAATAAATGACTTGTCTCTTTCTCTCCCTCCCTTTCTCTCCCTCTCCTTCTCCCTTTCTCCCCCTCTCCCTCCCTCCCTTCCCCTCTCTTTCTCCCTCTCTCTCCCTCCCTCTCTTCCTCCCTCCCTCTCTCCTTCTCCCACTCTCCCTCCCCCTCTCCCTCCCTTCCACCCTTTCTCTCTCCTTCTCCCTCCCTCTCCCCTCTCTCTCCCTTCCACCCTTTCTCTCCTTCTCCCTCTCTCCCCCTCCCTCTCTCCTTCTCCCACTCCTCCTCCCTCTCTCCCTCCCTTCCACCCTTTCTCTCTCCTTCTCCCTCCCTCTCCCCTCTCTCTCCCTTCCACCCTTTCTCTCCTTCTCCCTCTCTCCCCCTCCCTCTCTCCTTCTCCCTTCCCCCCTTTCTCTCTCCTTCTCCCTCCCTCTCCCCTCTCTCTCCCTTCCACCCTTTCTCTCCTTC